AAAGTATTTTTATGATGTTGATTATTATTAATATTATATAGGGGCTGTAATTTTCTCCCGACTCACTCCAACATCTCACAAAATAAACAGTTGCTGTATTATCCCCTTGTAAATGAGACCACAGGATTGTAAACTTTAATTTGTTACTTTTGGCTGCTCTCAGGTTTGGCAGACAATTAAACCAATTCATTAGTTCACAGAGGCACATTTTTGGCCATGTCTGGCTGCGTGAAGTCATCCAGTGAACACATTGGAGGCAGGGTGTAGAAAAACCGTACTGTGCCTTTGCCACAAGATCTGTCAGTAATGGTCCAAACAGGCCACTGTGGACTTTGCAGACCCAGGTGGGAGAGGGTGTCCTTGCTCCTGTGGCTCTGCTGTGCCCTGGGCACGGGCCATTAGCAGCCCAGTGCCCCTGAGTGCTGGCCAGAGAAGTGGTGATTCTGTATCTGACAGCAAAGCAGCTGCGTCGTGCCTGAGGCTTAACCTTTAAATTCTGCAGAGTTGGACAAGTGAAGCTCCACAGGACATGGCAGAAAATGCTGAGCTCTTGGAAAGGCTAATCTGGCCATGCGTGATCTCCAGAGCCAGCCCCAGCAGCTGAATTAATTCCTTCAATAGCTAGGCTGCTTTGGGTCCCTGCTTTCCCAGCTGCAGCCACATGGTTAACCTGCAGAGCCCCATGACAGCAGAGCACAGCTTTTGGCCTTTTCAGATATGTGCTGGGAGTTAAGGTGGGTTTCTTTTAAATGGAAGCTGTAACAGTGTGTTTTATGGTACTCCCACTGCCCTTGTCCAGAATGGCTTAGTGCAAATCACCCCTCAGATGAGGTTTCTTTGTCAGACATTTTTCACTCTCTGTAGTTTCTTAGATGTCCATTAACAAACCAAAAATCCTGAACCATCTTAGTTTTGAAAAAAAGCCCCATAAAATTAATCCCTTTTCCTTTGTTCCCTCCACAGGAGGAGGCTTTTTAATAGCATTCAAAAAGGAAGGAAAGATTTTCGAATACTGAAACCTAAAAGCTTCCCCAAACTAGTTCCTCACCATTGTGTTTTTCTCTGGCCAGCACTTTGTATCTGGATTTGCAGAATTCTTCTGCTTTGCAATTTCCTCTGAGTGATCCCACCACCACCAGCATGTCTGGGGAGCCTCGCTGGGCTCTGGCCCTCCATCAGCTGGAAATGCTGGAGGGAAGGGAGGCTGTGGAAGGGAACTGAGCGAGGGAAGGGAGGCTGTGGAAGGGAACTGAGCATTTTTGAAAAGCTGGTCACTTCCTTCGGTGTCTTGACTGGTTTTTCCTTTTCCTGCAATAACAATATTAACAAAAGTGTTTTTGATGAAACGGTGAGCAAATGCTGCAGAAGAGCTAATTGTGACTTCTTATATGAGAGTAACTCCTCTGGAAAGCAGCTGCAGAGACCTGCCCGCCCCACTGAGCCACTGTGGTTTTCTTCCAGGGTTCCTCCTGCTGCTGGGGTGTGAGGAGTGAGCTGGGCCATCTCCTTTGGGTGTCACACACATCCTCTGCTCCTCAGACTGCTCTGGGGGGGATGAAGGGCTTCACCCTGCTGCGGGCAGCTGCACCTCGCTGCGTGAATCCCAATCAGGAGCTGGAGGAGGACGAAGCTGGCTGGGTTTTGAGTCAAAAAAGAAGCCCTGTATTTTTCTCCTTTCAGCTATTTATCAAGGCTCGGTGCAAAGGGCCTGACACCCGCCAGCAGAGCCCGGCTGCTGCGATGTGTGTGACACACGAGCCGGTAATGAGGGACCTTCTGCTGAACGGCCAATTGAGCAGCCGCTGCCTGCAACAGCTTCATCTGCGAGGGACGGCGGCTGGATCTCTATTTTGACACATCCTCGCTGAATGAGGAAGAGAACAAGCAGAAAATGGCTGATGATAAATGCAGCAATTAGGGAAGCTTAATGGAGCAGAAGGTTTTTTGTGAGAAGACAAAGGAATTGCCGTGCCGACACCTGCGAGGAGGTCCCAGCCGCTGTGCAGGGAGCCTCCAGCTGTGCCGCAGCAGCAGGGGCTGGGATGAGGGGAGCCGACCTTTTTACTTCACACACACATCCCTCAAAGGCTTTGGAAAAATATTTTCCAAGTTAAACTTCAAAACATCATTTGATTTTTCTTTTTCTCCATTATGTTCAGAAACGGGAGCCTGTAATTTAGGCCTGGTGTAGCCTTCCCCCGCTCCTTGCTTTTTATTCGGTTTCACATAATACAGTGCACTACTAGGAAAGGCATTTTCCTGACAAAGTATTGATCTTGTTGCTGTGAAAGAGCCGTGGCCTCAGCAGGAGGATGCCATCTTGCTGGACACAAGTGGACAAGAAGTGGCTCCCTGGACAATGCTGCTTGCCCACAGTGATGCCCAGCTTGAGGCTGAGCCCGTGACCTGCCCTGCTCTTCCCAAAGCACTGTGCTTCTGAGCCAAGCCCTGGGCTATCAGCTCCCCAAGATTTGAGCAAAAGTGCTGAATTTATTTGCCCAAGCCTCATTTCTCTTTATTTCCTTAGCTGTTGGCTTTCTCCCCAAAGCCAACTGCCTGTGCAAAGGGGCACCAAGAAGCACTGGGGAGAGCTCTGCAAGGGTTGCTGGCATGGGGACACCCAGGTTTTGGTGATGGGTAATGCCAGTTTGGCCTCTCACAAGACCATTACCAAAATGCCCCAACACTGCAACACTGCAACACAACTATTTTCTGAAGACTTTGGCAAAAAAGGAATTTCCTGAGGGAGGCAAGGGAAAGGTTTCTCTTTTTTTCTTTTTTCTTTTTTTTTTTTTTTGCTTGGCACAAGCTAAGGAAAACACACATCTTGTTTTCCCCTCTGCTGACGGTTTCTCGTCTCCAGCCTGAGCTGCACTGCACACCACTGATTTCTCTACCCCTGCTCTCACTCTGGCTCTTGCTGGGCTGCCCGAAGCACAGCTGCTGTGTCTCGCTCTTCCCTAGGCTCTCAGGACACTGCATTCCTGACTCGTTGGCTCCTTCTGCTTTCCCTCCTCTGGGCCCGGGTGGGGCTGGTGCTGCAGACCTGACCGTGGAAGCTCAGCCTGTGCAGTCCTTGGGCTCCCCTGCATCAACCCTCTGTTTGTCTAACTCCAGGTCACCAACAGCTAACTACATATTTATGGTATCTACATAGGCTGGAAAGGACAATTCCCATATGCTTATTTTAGGCAATGAAGCTGGCCTTTTAGGGAAGCACTAGATCTTTTTTGTCAAGGAACAGTTAATATTTTTGATAAGTGATCTGAGGATGTGTTGCAGCTTTACAGACTGGCTTTTCTCCTCACTCCCTGATATGCTGGTTGTCTATTTTATTGACTGGGTCAAGAGTGACCCCCATTAACTGAAGCTGGTGCACACATCTTCCATGGAGCCCCAATGGGCATATGGCATTTTGGACAAAAGGTAATGTAAGTGCAACCACTGGTCTCCCTCCCTCCCGAGTATCTTTTTAAACACAGGCTGCCTGAGGCAAGCAATGAACCTTCCAAATCCCATCTTTTCCCTCCCACCCACTGTCATTTGTTTACTCAATTCCACCCTTTTTTGGTGACTGAGGGAAGTCTTTGGGGAGCCAGCCAAAAGTAGAATAAAAATGGTGAAAACGGCACAAAATGAAAGCTGAACAGTGGTAAATGCATAAAACCCAGGAAGTCCTTCTGTACCAGTTCTTTTAGCAGAAGGCAGCTCAGCTGGGGTGGCTTAAAGGAATAAGGCTGAATTAATTAGTTTCTCTGTTTAGGTAATAATGCCATTAATCATGATGAACCATTTTGCAAGAAGGCTGATACTCGACACTGTGTAATTCCACAGGAATCCCACTGTAGTGCAGCATTATTGATGGGTCATCCTCCGAAGGCGTGAGAGCAATGCCTCCTAATACAGTAAATGGCAAACCACTGATTTTCCTTTAATATTCAGACCACCACAACATCAGTCATGATGAATTCTTCTGGCACCAGGGTGGCTGCAATAAGCAATCCTTCAGGAATGCCAGGGGAGCATAGCATTGATTTAATGCTCACTTTTTAAGTCATACACAGACCAAATGCTTCCAAAGGGTATGGCCCACTTTTGCATTTTTTTTCTGAAGTTTGCAGTAACAACCTCCTCGCTCACATGTACCTGCATTAGGAACATGCAGCTATGGACTCTTAACAAAGGTTAGGGGGGCTCATTTATGCAGATCCATGTCAGAAATGGTGTCAAACAAGATCCCATGTTAGACACTGGCACCAGGAGAATTACAACCCCCCTGAGCCAGCATTATGAATCTTTATGCTGAGTCCAACACACTTTTCACATCCACCATGTGTTCTGTGTTCCTCCAACTTCAGCTGGGAGAGCAGGTGCTGATTTTTAATGCCTATTTTGTTTTAAGCCTCCTTTCATCAGATTAAGGACCCTGCTATTTTATTTCATTTCATTTTTTCATGCTCAGTAATTTAGTCACACGCAGACTTAAACCCAGAAGCTGTACCATGCTGCTGAAGCCCCGTCACTGCGCGCTCCGTCGGCCGCGAGGGGCTCGGGGCACGGCTCCATCCCCCTGCAGACTGCTCAGCCCAGGGAGAGCCTGGGGAAGCAAACGGGAGGTGCAGAGCAGTGCTGGAGGTGATAACCTTCCCGTGGTGGTGCTGGCAGCAGGGTCCCTCCACAGGAGCTGCTGCACACAGGCCGTGCTTCCTTTGCTGTCCTTCTTTGCCCTGGCAGGAGATGCTGGGTCAGCCCCAGGGGTGCAGAGCCCTGGGCTGTGGGGTGGAGATGCTGCAGGGCTGGGGGCACTGCTCTGCTCTCCTCCCCAAACCCCCAAATCCCGACCTCCAAAGCGCGTTCCTTCTGCTGGGAAGGATTCACAGGCAGAAGCAAATGCCTGTCCCAGCACCAGCCCCTTCTGCCAGCTGCCTCCTCCCAGCCGTCAATAAACCATTAGCCTCGAGTCAACAGCGCTGGCTACGACACACAAACACTCAACTGCCTTTTTCATCCAAAATCAATGTTGTATTTATCTTCATTGATCTACAAGGAAACTGAATGTTTAAAATTACAGGGGGTGCAGGGGGGAGGACGGGGAGGGGGGGGAAACAAGAGTTACAGAGCCAAGAAAATAGTAGCGGATGGCTGAATTAACTAGAGAGAAAAAGCCCAGGATATATAAAACATGGACACTGAAAAATAAAATAAGGGAAGGGGGGATGGTACAGCAAGTAAAACATGGCAAAATTTACATATGGATGAAAAGTAAAATTGGAAATAAAAAATAAATCATGCCAAAAAGCAGTTCAAGGCAGAACCACACTGAAACAAACATTTGCTTATGGTCTTCATGTACTATAGATAATATATCAGAATTTCTTTTTTTTTTAATCAACCATTAGACTTTTTTTTTTGCACTCCTAAAATTCTACTTTGTCTTGTATACAGATTCCAATAAGAACACTGCACAATTAGCACAAGGGGTCCACGGAAAATTGTCCTTGCTTGCCAGCGATCCTGCCCACAACACAAAAAAAGAGAAAAAAAAAGGAAAAAAAAATAAGGAAAGGGTCTGCCGCATGGTACTGTGCCAGTTCCATCTGCTTTTGCCAGCTTGAAAAGTAGGAAACCAAAATTCCCTTCCAGGAGCGTGTGTCTTTCTCTTTCCTTGACGAACTGTCCCTTGTGTTTGTACAAAAAAATTCAGTCTCTCTTTTTTTTTTTTTTGTTAAACACAAGCATCCTTCTTCCTGTTCACATGCCATTGCCATTCTGTCTCCAGAGTTGCGAGTTGGTTGTTTTTGGGTTGTTTTTTTTTTAAAATTTTTTTTTTTAAAACCTTCCTCCCCCCAACATCCACTAAGACCTGCCTCCGAGTTCTTGCATAGTTGAAGTATATATGCCGTACTGAGCTTTCTGAGTGTGAATTTCTGACTGTGACAAGAGTATGAGTTGTAACCATGTTAACAAATAACCAGAGTGGTTCTAGAAACCATTTTTATAAAGTCTACCTATGTTAAGAATTTAATATTGGTGTACATTTATATTAACAGAATATTTACAGTTTGTTTTCTTTTTTTTTTTGTTTAAAACAAGAAGTCAAAAAAAATTCCTCTTAAATTTCTGCATAATATAATAAGGCAAAAAACAAACAGTTTTGTACATTATTATTATTATTAATATTTTAATATATATCTGTAACTTCGGTTCCAAAGTACCAAGGTAAGTGATCAATTGGCCTCAGAAGGGAACCTCACAGTGGACTGTAAAACTACAGTATTTCCATAAATAATACTTTTAAGAAACCCTGGGTATTTTTTTCTTAAGGATCTGAGGCCTTTAAAATGCAAATTTAACTAAAAACAAAAGCAAAATTTCTTCTTTTTTTAAGTGAATAAAGAGCACAAAATTAAAAAAAATACAAATCCATTAAAAATGTTTCTCACATTTGGGAAAAAATGTACAAACTTGATATTCTTAACTCATTTTTTTTTTAGCACAGAAACAAAAAACAAAACCAAAAATCAATACCTATATATTAAATTCCCATTCTCAGCAACCTTCTTGTTGGAAAGTCCCCAACCCCGTTATTTATGGAAATGTGCTTAACTTCTACAAATTTTACATTAAAAAAAAAAGTTTACAGCAGTGCATTTTGTAAAAGATTTGTTGTTTTCTTTTTTTTGTTGTTTTTTTTTTCCTGCTTGTGGTTTTTTTTTTCTTTTCGTTGTTTGCTTGTTTGTTTGCTTGCTTGTTTTATGTACAGGTGAGTTTAAAATTCAATGTTGGGGACTATCGTGCCTCTACTTCTTTGGGGTTCCTAGAGGGGGAATAGTCCCTGGACTCTGAGTTTGTGAGTGGAGTAGTCCTGCGAGGGGAGGCAGGTCTGGTGCTGCTGGCTGGTACGAGAGGCGGCGGCGCGCTCAGCGCTGCGGTCGGCGGGTTCCTGTTCAAAATCCCGTTGTGCATGGCAGTGGATGGACTCAGTCTGGGGTAATGCATCCCGCTCAAATGAGGCATGAAGGATGGCACGTGTGCCAGGTGGCTTTCGATGGGGGACGAGTGCAAGTGGTGCATTCTGGCACGCTCAAGTTCTTCCCGTAAGTGCAAGCGCTCACGCTCCTCCACTTGCCGCAACCGCTCCTGCTCTCGGCGGGCTTCCAGAAGGTTCTCGTGGTTGTAGTCGTGTGGTTCCCTGTCTCTGTAGGAACGCTCATGGTCATAAAAGCCAGAGGTGGTAGGAAACCTATGGATAGGATCTGTCCGGAGCTGGAAGTCCATTCGACGGTGCAGGTCTAAGCTCCGGTAGGCATCTCGCAAGGGGTCCCTCATCGGGTCCCAGGAAAATCCGGGATGCGGCAGCCTCTCTCTTCCTGACAAAGGGTTCATGCCTATGAGCGGGGTCATCATCCTGCTGCGGTCCAGGACATTCATGTTGTTCATCTGGTGCACGCTGCCCATGGAGATGGGCATGGAGGCAGCCATCGAGTGAGGCAATGATAATCCATGGAGAGTGGGCGGTGGGGGATGCTCCACTGACCGGGAGTGCTGGGAAGGCTCAGACCCAACCACTAGCACATCGCTGTCTTCCTTCCTCTCCTCCTTGACTTTGATGTCATTCTTAATCTTCTGGAGGTCGCTGGGAAGCTCTGTCTTTCTCTCCATGTCCTTGCTCATTAGATTGGTAAGCTTCAGGCTCTCACTTAGTGCAGGTTTGCTGTATGGGGATACAGACTGGATTACTGGCTTTGTGTTGTCCTCAGAGGGTCTCTTATCATGGCTTGGAGTTTCCTTCACTGGGGAACGGCTCTCTTTGATCTTGTGTTCAGCTATGGGCGGCTCTCTCAGCCGGTCAGGGTGCTCTCGCTCGGGCTCCTTGGACCTCTCCCTGTCCCCGAGGCTGACCTGCCTGATGGGCTCGCTGGAGCTCTGGCTGTTGCTGCGGATGAGATTGCTTATCTGGTGCGTCACGGGGGCGGATGCCGGCGAGGATCTGTTCGAATGTCTGTTTTTATCCATCAGGTCTCTGTAAAAAGACAGAAGGTACATCCTTGGTTATGTGTGAACAAACACACCCCTGATGCTGGGCATGCACGGTGCTGTGCCCAGTTGTACACTTTGAAATTGCTCAGGAAAGGATTTGGAAAGTTCTACAAGCATCAGCTACAGCTGCAATGCTATTGTAAGTGATATGCACAATCTGCCTTTACATGCTTTAAAGACCAAAAAAAGTTAAACGTTCACAAGTGTAAGACTAAACTGGGGATGTGGCTGGTAATATTCACCCTAAGACCATTTCACTGAGAAATACAGGGAAAAAAGAATTCTAGACAGCTTATTTTTCTTTAAAAAAAGCTTATTCATGTTCATGTGTACATCTTGCTGCCAGACAACATTCTTAGCTGTAAAACTTGGGTTCCTTTCCTAAAACATGGATCCAGACACACAAAACAGAAAACTACAGAAATGTATGCAGGTCCTTCCAAAGTCAGCCTCATTGACTGGAAGCAACCATAGGGCGAAGCTGATTTTCCTATGGAACTGCAAGACTTTTGTTGTTGGCAGTTCTTGCAGGTAAGCCAGATGCTTCAGGAGAAACATCCTTGAATCAGCCACAAAACTGAGTAACTGAGCTGTGTTTCAAGAGGACCTGCTGTGATAAACAAGGGGTCTGATGACAACATCCATGGTTTAGAAAGAAAGGCACAAAGGTTTACATTTCCAATTGCACCTCTGCCTCTGAGCAAGCCAATTAGTCACAGTTAATCCCACCTTTTTAACAGGGGAATAAATAATGCTCACCTTCTAAAAGCACTTTGCTCTGAATGAGAGACACTTTAAATGCAAAATATGATCGTGTGATTGAGAGAACAGCATTATGCAGCTGAGAGGCTCACTTTGCCTAAGTTTTATGTTGTATTTGTTTTTGAGAGCTGTAAGACCTGAGTGATGAAAGCTGGAGATGTTTTGGGGAGCTGTGTAAGTATTTGTCCCTTATGATTACATTTGCTAACCCAGCTTTCTTCCTCTGTGGTATTCCTGATTGCTGGTCAAGGATGTGGTTTATTAAAAACATGGCCAAACAGGGATGCTGGGGACAGCTTAAGCTAAATTAATAGAAGTGTAATAGAGCTGTTAACCCCTGTGTGAACACTCCTGAGAGTAAAGTAACCTTGGTCTGCAAATGAATTCCATTAGAGCCAAGAAGGGATACCGTTCCTACCTGAATGAAATCTGTGCAAGGATTTTAGACAATTTAACATGTAAAGCAAGAAGATTTTCAGCCTATTGCTTCCACGTAATCTTGTTCACAGGTACTGCTTGAAGATCTCATTAAAAGCACTCCAGCAAACTATGAACCCCTATCACTAGTCAAGCATGCACATCTAAGACTTGCAGGCTGTTATTGCCTACAAAGAAGTAGCCTGTTGGAGACAACTGGGCTCTGAAATATAAAGGGCTTCACATCTTCAAAATCATATAACTGGAAGCTAATGAAGTAACTATAGCCCAGGTGATACAGGCCTGTCATCCTTAATAAGGATTTGCCCACAATGCAATTTTTTAAAATCAGTTTTGCTAATGGATTCATGCACACTGCTCCAGATACAGCCATTTGCATTGTTATCTCATTAATGTCCAGCTAACATTTGAACTCATCAGCATATCTGTACCTTAATGAGAACTATGACTGTCTCCAAAGGACCCACCACAATTTCAGAACACACAGCAATCCTAAAGCAGCTGCACTGAAAACAACCGAGTTTTCAGTACACTGAAAACACAGCAACACATTCAATTCCTCAGCCTGGTGTGATTTTGTTAATTGACTAGTAGGGACTGGCTTACTGTATTTCCACAGAAGACAAATCCCAAAAGGCAAAGAGGAATGCTTTTGGTGTCGCTGGTACTTGTGCTTATCTGAGCAAAATGCCTATCAGCTACTTTAAGGATCAGCAACATTTTAGGGAAAACACAAAAAATACAGAGGAAAAGCAGCCCTGGGAGGGAGAGCCCAGAAGCCCACAGTGCTCACCTCTCTTTGTCTCTGTCGTCCTTGCTCAGAGAAAGATCCCTCTTCTCGGGCTCCCGCTCTCTGTCCCTGTCGTGGTTTGTCACCGAGGAGCTCCGCTCTGAATCCGAGGGCTTGGGCCACTGGGGAGGGGTTGGGAAGGACGGCGGGGTCCGGTGCAGTCTGTTCCATGGCTCGTGGGGGTTATTGAAATTCTGCAGGTTTGGGCCATCTTTGTGAGTAAAAATGTTGTTGTGAGCTAGAATAATGGCAGGGGGAGGAAGAGTTAGAAATAATTCAAAGCCAATCGTTATACAGACATTTTTCACAATATCTGTCACAACCAGAACTGTCCTTTTAAGGCTTTTTAATGGTGAGGAGGAGCTACTAGTTAGAGTGGAGACAGATAATTCCAACACTGGGTGTAAGATCCACCAGCTCTTTAAAGGCTGTTGTTGGAGGAAGCTTTATACATTTCAGTAACTCAGAGACTACTGAAAATGCCCAGCTTCTCTTCTCCCCCCACCCCAGGCAAGGGCTCCAGCACAAAAGCAGTATTTTTCCTCAGCTCCTCTCTCTGGAAGAAACTTTAATTTGTGGGTAGTTACAAGCAATCAGCTGCCTGCAGCTGAGGCTTCAGGGATGTTTTTTTGTTGAAGAACCCAGACTATTTGGTGGCATGTATGTGTGTGTATAAACACAGAGCTTGGCTGTAGGCTTTTCAGAACAGTCACTCGATTTTCCTCCATCCATCTTCAGCTGATTCCTGTTGCACCATGAGATGCACAAGCATGCTCTCTTATGTGTGGCTCTCAAGCATGTTTTGCCTACAGGTAACATGTTTTTGAGGTAGAATTATTTTATACAGGTAATTTAAACTTCAGCCAACGGTTACAGAGGATGTCTACACGAATTAGAAGAAGTATCAATAGCTGCTCCACTGTGCATCTTCGCTGGTGAAGGATGTTACTTTAGGTGCCCACAGGGTCCCAGAGCTCAGTGGGGATTTGCAGCTCCAGTGCCTCTCTGAGCACATAAGGTACCAACCCTCAGCAGTGAGGAGGCACAGAGCACAGCTACTGATCTCTGTGACATGCAGAAAAGCTCCCACCGCAGAGACCTGGAAATCTTAGGTGCAGTGTTTTCAGATAGGAGAATGGAGGTTAGGAATTAAACTTCTTTAAAAACTACCACCAGCTGCTGTAAATATTAGCATGTGGCTTTTCTGGAAGGGATGTTTGTCTGCAGTAACCCAGCCAGTACTTACTCAGAGCATGACTGCCTAATCCTCCAAAGGCATTGCTGCCTAAGTTCCCAAGGCCGCTGAAGGTGCTTGACCTGCTAAATGGATCTGGAAAGGCAAACAGGGATTTAGCAGGCATTTAGCCAAGAATGTTGGAGAATGAAACGCACCCCTCCCCTTCTTAACGGTTTGAATCCAAGTAGGATTAGGCCAGACTTTAAGCTGATCCTTCTCATTGCAAGGTTCTTTGCACAGAAAATTCCCATCATGTTAAAATGGAGAAGGGATTCATTCAGTGCTCACTCTGCAAACAGGTGCTGTAATAAACTTTTGTATGTGCGTCAGAAGTGAGTTAGAAATTAAGGTCTAATAGCTGAAATTAGGGAGGCTGCTGAGCTATAACTCTCTTTCCTTATCAGTATTAATAGTAGAAACATTGCAATTGCCTTGAAAGAAGAATCTCAGCAGGCCCCTAGGCCAGCATTGAGGAGATGACTGTCTTGTTTCTGCACTTTTTTCCCAGTAAAGGCACCCACCACCAGAAGAGGTTCCTCTCTGAGAGCACACAGCCTGTCTCAGAGACAGCTATGGATTAAATCCTACCAGTGTACCTGTTTTCTTTCCTACTGGTCATCTCTAAACAACTCCTCCTGCCCAGTGGCTTTTTGACTGTCCCCTTCAAGCCCTTAACTTGCCATGTTACAGGAGGTAATGCTGCTCTCCACTTCCTCACAGATATTTAAAATATCAAGGCAAATGGCACAAACAGCTTGTATTTTAAAGCAAACAGCTATTTGCTTATTTACTTATTTAAAACAGTTCTTGCCCTTCCTCTTTGATCTTGTGGCTGAGTGACTCGGTAGAGATAGTTAATTTTGACAGAATGTTCAGGAATTGATGTAAATCTGGGTATTTGCGAGAGAAAAAAGTCTACTAGGTCATGTGGCATGCCACATTTACTGATTGGATGAATGTTACTAAAACATTAATCAACAGAGCTTGAACTTTAATTGGCAATGAGCTGCTTGTGAGCTTCTAAAATGAGGAAATTTGACAAAATCAGGCTCTACTTACTGCCAATTAGGAAACTGAAAGTCTGGCAAAATGTGCAGAACATCTACTTGCCAGGAACTGTTCCCTGAACTCTTTTAAAGAACCTAGTCAAGACCTTTCATAGGTGGAAAATGGTACAGGAGGAGCCCATTTTAAGCTGAAGCTTGTCAGGTATCTTTGCATAAATTTCCCCCATTTCTTCAGGCACATTCAGGAGCACAGCACTCTACAGATCACATTTTGGCTCCGGTGCAGTGTCCCAGCAGTGACAGATGTGACAGCTCTGCACTGTCCCCTCCTTTGGGGGACAGTGAGGGTATGTGCTAGGAGCTGGCAGGGATGAGAAGCTGGCCAGCTTTGGGATCCTCAGGCAGTTTAAGCCTTTCCCTCCCCTAGTGCCACAGTGCAGGACCACACTGAGAGCCAGGAAGGGGCAGAGGTACAGAGGTGAAGGCAGGGCTACTTACACTTACCTGCCAAGTGGTTTGTAGGCAGGAAACTGCTGTGGTGAGGGGAGGGACCAAAAGGGGTGGTGGCTGGATGCGTCGCACCTGTGAGAACAAGGTCCCTTTTTAGTTCAGGGCCAAGTGACTCCTTGTATACACAGAGCTCCTGGCCACCACATTCAAGAGCTGGATGCAAAGGCCACATTTAAACAACAAAGGCAGGAGAAGACCCCAAAGCTTGGTTGAGTGAGCAACATGGATCTCCCTGAGAGCCCTACCAAGGAGTCTAACAGGGCACTGGAGGCAGGAGGAGACCTTGCACAGAGCTGCTGCTCACCTGGAGTAACAGGGAAGCCAAGCTCTTTGTCTGACAGTTTCAGTCATTACTCCATGTTTACATGAAAAAGGGTCAGCCCAGGTTATGGGCCCAGCCAGAAGGTGCTCAGAAGTGACTGATTAGTCTATATGAAACACCAGTTAATGACAGGCACACAGGGAACATCCATCATGCTTCTCCCATGAGAGCTCCAGCTACGCTTTCACATCTGTCTCTGCATCCACAGGCTCCCCCCTGATATTTTTTCCCTTTCCTAGACACTGCTCATTGCCATGGTGCCACACTTCTTGTGGGAAAGAACACCACTGCTGAGCATGCTGGATTACATGAGGCTGAGGAGATGGGAAGGAAGGGGTGAAACAAGCAAGTCTGCCCTGTATTTCAAGGTAGACGAGGCTCATGCAGAAAACTCTGCTCTGCTTTCAGAGCAGAAAAGGAGAGATTTTCTTCCTTTGCAGGCAGGCATATGTGAATCTGAACAGGCTCACAACCTCAGTGTGAAAAGCACTGGTGTCACCTGTCAGAGGGGTACTTGATCAGCCCCTGACCTGGCCTTCCTTGGAGACAGAGCCCAACCCCTGATGGCTGCTGTGAAACACACTCATGTGTCCAGAACATGAGCAAACTGTGAAACCTGAGAGGGAGACAGAGCTCTGTTTCCCTCACCAGCTTGGGCACCTCAAACCTAAGCAGCCAGAAAATGAGCTGAAGAAACTTAAGAGAGACCACAGGAAGGAGGCCCATCTAGCACCTCTCTATAAACATTCTGACTGCTCCAGTGCTTCAAGACGGATGGAGACTGTCATCTTTCTAATCCTTTAAGATTTCAGAAGGTGTATAATGGATGGGAGATTTCTTCAAAGGAGACGGCTTACAAACTCCACTACATGGGCTGATAATAAAAAATCCTCTGGAGAAAGCCAGGAGCAGCATTGCAGGCTGTCAGGCAGTTATTAAATAGACCGTCTGCCAGGCAGCCAGCATCCCTCCTGGAGACAGGTGGCCCTAAGATAACTTATGTCTCCCCCAGTAACCAGGCAATGCAGCAGAACCAATGATTCACACCAACTGCACACGTGCTCAGTAAGGTGAAAAGAATGCCTCAGATATTCCAGAGTAAAAGCTTTATTCCTCCACGTATTCCAGCTGCAGTGTTTGCTCACACTGACAGCACTCTTTACCTGGATTTACTGTGTGATGGCTCTTGTGATTAATATACTCACAGACAAGTTGTTGTTTCTCTCTACTGAAAGTTTTTTATTAGTTTGCCTTTTTTAATGTTTCTATTCCATACTATTTTCCCTCTTGCTTTTACGAATGAAAAGCAAGCCATGCTTGCATCTTTTAAGGGAAAAAAACTCCAGATATCAACTGGACTGGTGCTTTTCTGTCTGTTAGGGTAATTCTGTCTGGAACAGCCTACAGTAGCAAAACCAGATATGAAACAAGATTCTTGTAATGACAACACAGGACAGTGATAAGGAAACATCTGCCACAGGAAAACAGCCAGGGGTTTGTAAATAAGCAGTGCTTATGCATCCAGGTAGATGCAATGAGTATCTTGACCTTGTACTGTCAAAACACCTTTATAGAGACCAAATTCAGGGTAGCACCCTACAGTGTAGAGCTGGTGCCAGCACTGACTGGGAGAAGTGACATGTGGGAGAAGTGTGCTTTTGATGTTTAAGAATTTCCATCCACAGACACAGCAGAAAGACAAACTGAAGCACTGGTGGAGTTCCTGAAGGCTATTTATCATCTGCATTTGAAATTCAATTCTCACAGAAATTTCAGCTCATTGTCATCTGTTGCTTTTCTGTCATATTTGGGACTGAGTTCAAACCTAAAGTCATTAATTTCCACAGGGTTGAACCAAGGCTGAATATGACCATGTCTGCACTGAGTTAAAGTGATTGTGCAATATTGCATCATAAAACCAGACTAACATTAGGGAAGAAAATGGCATTATTTTCCAATTAATTACATATATAAAGAGCTAGGTTACATCTCGTCAATTGATGCAGCTCATTCAGAATGCAGACTTTGGCATCTCAAACACAGAAAATTTGAAGAAGTTGAGAAGAAGTTAAGTTTGAGAATAAAAACAACATTTAGCATTTGGTAGACAGATGTCCACATGAATCCACACTGGCATCCTAGACCAGAATGGGAGAGCTGCAGTCTCCCATGGTCAGAGCCATCCAGAACAACACAGTGAAGGTTACTGTCCTTTGGTAATTGTGTAATTGTAATTACTTCTCCAACAGATTGGAAAACAATCGATCAGTGTAAACTGTATTTAATTCTTTGGAGCTCTTTGTAAATTCAATATATCATTTTGAGCCCTGGACTTTGCTTAACTTTGTAACACATAGAGGAATTTTCTATTTAAAAAAACAAACACTTGACAAATACACCTTCTGTGATATTTTGAATGCTGTTATTGAAGTTTTCCTTTCAAAAAAACCCCTTGTTTTCAGAAAACAAACAGAAACTTGGTGAGTGGAGGAGCTGAGAAGAATAACATGGCAAACATAAAAGCAAGAAAGAGACCGGGGCCACTTCCAATCCTGTGCAATGGAAACACTTTCAAGTGTTTTGCCCAAATTGGTTTAAAAAAATCACTCTATAGCCTACTAATCAGGCACATAAGAACCAGCTGCACACACAGGACTGTGGGCCAACTGCTGCAGCTCAGTGATGTGCAGAGGATCCTGCACTGGAGGTGGTGGCAGAGCCCTGGTCACAGTAGAGTCTCTGCACCCCTTGAACCAACCTTGCTTCTATTTTTGAGGCACATGTAGCTGTAAAGTCATGCATGACATACACTGACTTTTTGTTTGTTTTGTTTTGTTTTTAATCAACAAGGAATGATCTTCCCTTACCTGTGGTAGAAAACAGAGGCCTGGCAAGATCTTGTGGATAATGGAAGCCTGGAAACACTCCAGGGGCGGGAGGTCTGCTGAACAGGTCAAGTTTACCACCTATCTCTAGCTTGTGCGGATCCAGCTGCATTTGCTGTCAAAAGATATAAAACCAATCTCATTACACACTTCCTTTTTAATGGGAAAACAAGAGAGGGAGTTAAGGCTCATTCCCCCTTAGCCCTGGCAGGGAGCGTTAGCCAGAGCGACAGCAGCGTCCCCACTCACGTGGCCGTGCCCTGCCAGGCTCTGCAGGGCCACCCCACCTTGCAGCCCCTCAGCTGCCTGCCCCATGCCAGGCTGAGCTCTGCAGGGAGCACTCAGGCCCTGCAGCACAGGCTGCAGCAGGAACAGGACACACCGAGTGCCCGGCACCCCGGGAGCAGCCGGTGCTCTCAGCCTGACAAAAATACTCTGCAGGGACAAAGCTGCCAGCAGGAGCCTCGAGAGCTGGGTGATGAGCTCCTCTGCTCTGCCTCTCCAGTTTGAGAGAGATGTGCCCATACTGTGCCCTTCCTGCAGCCAGGACAGCTCAGTGTGCAGGCAAGGGGCAAAGGATGAAGGAAGCTATGAGGCTCCTCCAGAGACCGTTTTTATCCTTGCCCTGTAAGAGTGAGCAACGGCCAGAACTGCACCTTAGTCATAGAAGCCTATGAATAGCTTAAAGATTATGTATTTGCTAAAAAAAAATATGGACATACACCCCTTCCAGAGGCATCTACTCAAGCAGAGAATAGCCTGCATTAATGGGACAAAAAAACTACTCTAGGAGCTGTGAAAAAATAAAATCTACACAAGTCCCTTTATCAGCTATTCCACCTGCCATGGGGAGTCTAAAGCCTGCAGCAGCACCCCAGGGTACCTACATCCTGTTACCTCTCGAGTGCTAAACCCCCTCCCCCTCTGCCCACCATCACAGCAGCACAGGAAGCCCCACAACCTCTAACACCGATGTTATCAATCCACTCTGCTGCTCTCTGCTCTGTAATGTTCTTCATTGCATTGGCCATTTCATTACCTCCTCCACAGGAGGTACTAATGCAGAAGGGAAGCGACATTAAATGTGCATGCTTTGTAAAAAAAAAAGATTGACTTGGGGAAATTACTCTGCCCCTCACTTTCTTCCCCTCTTTCTGGCTGTACACCCTTCCACCCAGCTCCTTTGCCCTCAGATAAACTTTACAGTTGCTACAATAAATGTTAAAGGAGTGTAAGTATTAGTTAATCAATACAGGCAAGCTTGAGAATCACCACAGTAACTGCTTCCTGCCCATTACTCACTCAAATACAATCTGTAAGCTAAAAGACTTGGCTTTGTTCCAGAAACCATCTGAATTACCTTTATCTTTTGCTGGTGATGGTAGATCTGCCAGGCGATCTGTACATGAACCGCACACCACTTCCCGGGTTTCTGCAGTGGAAAGCACAAGAATTTAGATTAATTTATACGTTAGCAATCTACATCAGATAGAACATTTCATTTCCCTTACTGTCAACCAGGCAGCTAAGCAATGAGAAAGGCTGATTACTGAAACGGCACAATGGGTGATCAACATTTTCTGCTGTACTGCAGCAGATGATGTTTAAATTAAGAAGGAAACAGGAAGAATGTGGGATATCTTCCCCATCTCATGGACATCTGAGATCCTGCCTTGTTCTTTCCTACTTGCACTCCCCCCTTCCCAAACTGAAATGAATGGCAGCAAAGAACAGTATGCCATGCTTAAGAAAAGCAACTAATGGTTGAGAGTTCTGTTTCTGAAAAGAGCCCTGTTCATTCACCCCTGCTGCACTGCAGGCTAAGTCATGCGTGGTTATTATGGCTACTGGCTTTAGGGGAGGGAAAGGGTAGGGACAAACAATCCCCAGGATGAGCAGTGCCACAGCTGAACAAGTCCCTATTTTCAGCTGAGCCATGGTACTCACTGTTCCACTGTTTATGTGGAACATCAGCACATTGACCTAAGCCACCACGAATCTGTTCACTGGTGAATGTCTGCCCATGCTCACAGTCATTTATTTCTGTGACCCTCATTTCATACTGTGAACTATTAATGCACATAAATGGATGCAAAACAAGCCTGGGATTCAACCTAAATGTTATTAATCAGAAGTGGCAGAGAGCTAACTGACATTTTGCTTGAAGTAAAGGATGAGCATGAGATTTTCAATTGGACATGTGGAATTGCAAAAGCACATGCACAATATTCCAAGTGTCTGTGTATAAATATGTATATAAAATCCCCCACAAACCTTACTTACTCTTACTGGAGGCCTATAAGGGTCTGACACCTATGGAAAAAGCAGAAATAAAACAATCAGTCTTTCTAAAACTAGCCAATATACAGAAAGGTGGGGAAGTTCCTTCCTCTGAACAAGTGAAAGCATCTGGAAAGCAATGTTCCAGAGAAGTCCCCTGTGACATGGGAAACCTAAAAGGCTTAAAGAAGGCTTAAAACTTCTCTTTCATTCCTTGAACCAAACTCAGCAGAATTTTATGATAAACAAAGCAGCTTCATGCCAGCAACTGAACAGTGCCAGTGCTTTTCTGAACCTTGTAATTATTCTGAAATGGAGCGCATTAAAGTACTCTCCAAGCAATACCTAGAGGAAAGACATTGAAGGGGTTTCCTGCCCCATTTTCCTCAGACTTCTGAAAGAAGCCAATACATCCCTTTGAATTCATGACTGGTGGAGATTGCTGTCTAACCAGAAAAAGACAACTTCTCTCCTCACTGCATTTTCCTGGTCTAGAAGGCCAATTTGCTCACCAGCCTACTCTCAATTTTTTACCAGCAATCACTGTGTCTACTGTACACCCAGATAAGCTGAAAAGAAGTTTATATATTGTTGCCTACCCCTGGAGTCTTCTGCAGCAGCGTATGGTGGACTGTGCCTGGTCTACCTGCTACATCAATAGGGTTTGAAGTCTGAAAGACAAGAAGAGAGCGTGAATAATACTGCATCACACCAGTGGTACATTTAACATCTCTATCTGATGTTAACAGCATTAATTAGTCCATGTTTGCACTGCGCTTTGAACACGCATATTGCTACATTAGTGCTAAATGTTATCTCTTACTGACAGCCAACAGCATTTAACCACCATGTCATTTATTATTATTGAGCAGCAATAACAGTATTCCAGTAGCACCTCTAAGCCCTGCTGAGATCACACCCCCTTGTGCTGTGCATGTGCATGGGAAGAGACAGCCCCTGCCCCCTGAGCTTATTCTTTAGACAAAACAGGCAGGAGGTAGGAGAGAGGACAAGAGAGGTGGCCTGACTCCCTCCATTTTCCGGGCAGCAGACAGGAACAGAATAACCTGAGCATCCCAGTCCCATATTCCACACACTGGACCACGGCCCCTCTCTGACTAGGGCCAGGTAACACAATGCCTGAACCAGCAACAGCCCATCTATCTGCTTCGACAAGGCAAAAATGAGAAACCTTAGAAGGTGCTTGTGGGTCTTTTATAGCTTTGCATTGTTTACCCCATCGTTTTCCAGCAAGAATTAAACACCTCATTGAACGAATCCCTGCTGCTCCTCCTCCAGATCCCACCTGTTGTCCTGTCCTAATGATCCCCAAGAACTCGTTCATCTCCTCACTCGGGCACTCATCCATCTCCCACTCCCACAGCAACTGCACCTGGTGCCTCTGCACAGCTGAGTGCAGAGGGGTTAAACCTCATTTCCCAAGAGATCATTTCACTCATGTTTTAGGTCGAATTATAGCAGATTTCAAACAGTACAAGGCATGAGTATAATCCTGGGTGTAGGAGGGAAGGTAGGTTTTAGTTTGTCTAAGGCTATGTAACTTCCAGACTCATTAAAAAGTGAATTCTCGTGTGTGTGTAGGTAAGTCAATGCACTCCCCAGGCAGATGGGAGCTCTCAGGCTTCTCTGACAGCTGAGGTAGATATAAGGTGGCAAATAAGTTACAGCTTTCATACAGGCAAGAGCTTAAAGATCACAACATGTTAATAGTATGGTGTCATCCTGTCCCTCTGTCCCCTGGAGAAAGACATGAATGCTTCCTCCAGCAAAGTAAACTGAATACTTCTGACCTTTTCAAGTTCTTAGCTTGTGAGAAATGGCCTTCGGGAAACTCACTGAGAAATTTACCGTCAGCCTGGATTTATGTGCAGTGGACTCACACGCACAGCTGTAGGCAAATGACATGGGAAGGGGAAAAACAAAACCAAGATCTCTGCTTTGGAAAGCAAGAAGTGCAGGAGTCAGAGTGCTAAAGCCAAATCATCAAGTCTGTAGTGATTATGCAGGCTTTAGTCACACAGCTTGGGAGGGAGAGACCACGGCAGAGCGAGGCAGTAACGATGACTGGAGTGGCTTTGCCTAGAGTTCAGCCCTGCCTCCTCTGGGAAACTGGAAAGTAATGTGCCAAAGCAGCAGATACATATTTCAACCTATCCCTCTCTTTTTCAGACGTTAGATTGTATGTAAATACTGCACTGTGCAAAGATCAAATGATGTCAGTGATTAACCACAGCACTAGAGTGTGACCCTGCACTGCTTAAACTCAAGCTAGCAAATGTTGGATGTATCTAAAATGAACTAAAAGGTAGTTATAACAGCACTAGGAACTGCTCAAAAAAAACTAAAGGGTCTGTGCTCACTTTTTTCCTCTCACTATGTAACTGCTCCTTGGCCTAAAGGTATTTTACAGAGAAAATGGAAAGCAGAAGAATGTGCCATTGGTGTAGCAGCAGCTCCTCATGAGCAGGAAGGAGCTTTATGGCAAAACAGCCCTGGCTGCACGTGAGCAAAATTTGTCCAATTCCACCTTATTCCTGCAGCTCCTTTTCTTGCAAAATCAAGTTCACAGCCTGGCTACTCAGGGTCTGCAGGGACTCCCTCACCCCTTGCTAGAGTAACAACAATTAACACTGGCAGACAAACTCCACCAAGGGATGGCCATGTTCTGTCCCTCTTGTTCCCTCTGCTTCCATGAACTGCTCCTTCTCTAGGCCTGCAGCCACCACATACAAAACTGCCTCTGAACAAAGCCATTTTAGAGACTTTGCTATTTGTAATGTATTCCTAAACCAAAATAATGTCAAGGATTCGATGGGCACTGAGGAAATCCTCTGGCTTCCATGAAGAGCATTAAGTTAAGGGGGAAGGTTACAAAAGGCCTTATTTGCAGTTGCTAATTACTGACTTCCACTGACACCAGTGAGACTGCTGAGGGAAGCACATCCCTCAGACCTGCCTGGTGTGGATATGGAAATCACCTTCCAATTGCAAACAGGAATGGCCTGACTATGGTGCTGCTCCTTTCATGCCTTCTTACACAGTAGCAGAGTTCTATGGAAATGCAGTTCAAGCTAAGAAATCTCTAAAATCACAGCATATGAGGAAGCTGAACATGTCACCTTACAAATGAAGTACGTGCTCCATTTTCAAACAAATGCTATATAGACACAATCCATTATTTCTTGTTTGGAGAGATTTAACAGTTTTGGTACATTTAAAAATAGTTAATAAAAAGTACACCTCTGGGAGGGGAAAAAAAAGCAGTGCACACCACAGAATTTGCCAAAAAATGGGGGTTATGATGTCAACATTTCCAAATGCCAATCAGTGCTAGTTGTAATGACATGTCACAGCTGCAGTGCACCTTTCAAACACATTATCTCAAAGAAGCTTGCAGGCATTAATCAACCCTTATAAAACCCACTGCAAGATAACTTTATAGATGAGGAAGCTGAGGAACAGAAGGTTTAAGCAACTTGCCCAAGGTCAGACAGTATTGGAGCTGGGAATAAAAATTCAGCTCCTTCAAATTGCTCTACCCATTTCCAGCAGTCTCTCCCTATTGTTCCCACACTTGTGCAGTCAAATTCTCATTGTTTTTTCTGGGAATAAACACAGTTTATCTTTTGCAATCTCAGACCATTAGATTTATAAAATGATTTGGGACTCATCGGTCTATTATGAGCTGTAAATATTTCAATCAAAATAATGCACTTCACTGTATGCTTCTCCTCCAGTTTCAGCAGACCTCCCAAGTGAACCACTACATCCTTTCCAAGGAAGGATCTGCAGTGCCAAGAGAAAATTTCTGCTGAAGTGTTGGCTGCTTTGTGCAGAGGATGCTCACAGCTCTGCGGGGGGATCCTTTCCAACCCTGTGCTGCACTTCTGCTATTCAAATCATGTGCTGCAAAATCACCAGAGACAAGACTCTGAACACAGTTTCTCTCCCAGCAAAAGAACAAAGCCTTCAGAAGAAGAAGTTTGTACCTTCGGTTGAAATGCTCCCTGAAGTGACCCAAAGGGACCTGAATGTGGAAGCATGGGTGGCATTCCAGGCATTGCTGGAGGATAGGTTGGAAAGAACTACAAAAGAAAAAGAGATGCTTATGTCACAGGATGACTTGAACAATAATGGAGGTAGGTGCCAAGCCTGGCACATACAAAAATAGTACTGTGCTGAACAAGTGCCACAGTGAAAGTACATGATAAATTTGCTTTCAAAATTTTTAAGAGCAAAGCCAAAACTTGAAAAATGCACTCATCTGATAAATTTTTTAGATAGTGCTGAATGAGTGTGCCTTTAAAAATTGTGGACTATTGCAGGAAGCACAGAGCATAATTTGGGGTTTATGTTCACTTTCCATTAACTTTGCATTTTTCTGCTGTTGCAAACAAATCGATCCTGTTTTGAAATGTGACCTGCTTTAATTTTTAAAGCAAAAGGAACCACAAGATGCTGCACTGCACTCTAACCACAGGCAACATGCACACCACCTTGTAGTTATGTAGGCTGGGTGAAATTTTGCTTAGGCCTCTCCTGAGCACACACAGCAGTTTTACAAGTCCCAAAACATGTAGTTTTTTGTGCTTTGGAGCAGTGGGGAGCACCAGGAAGAAACCACCAGTCTGACTTACTCCTGTGACCTGAGCAAAACCTTGTGAAAGAGCCATGCACTCCGGGCTGCTGCACTGGGAGAAGCACCAGCTGCAAAAGTACTGCAGTGACCACTGACTGAGCAATTCCTGCGCATTCCCTGCCATCCCAGGCACAGCCATACAGAGCCGCAGCAGCAAAAATGCAGGAGACAGAGAATTTAAAAAAAATAAAATTAAAAAAAATAAAAAGAGCCCAAAGAAAACTTGGTACCTTAAAAACATAAAAAAATCAAGACGGAAAAAGAGCTTTAGAAATGAATGGATCAAAACACTACTCATCAATTGAAAACAAGCAAAAGAAGAGCAAGCAGAACCATTAACAAAGAAACCGAGGAGGAAGGTGAGCACTCACGTTGGAATGTCGAAAGTAAGGGTTGTCTAATTTGGGAGCGTACTTGTCAAACTGGAAAGAAAAGAGAAAAAAAAAAGGAAACAGGTGAGTTTGGTTTTGGCAGGAGCAGACACATCAGGATTTCAACACAGACAAATAATCATGGCCCATGTGTAAGCGTTTAACAGAGCAGAACTGACTGGTTATTCCATACTTGCTCACTGGGGACATGACTGATTTCCCCAGGGTAACAGAGAGGAGCCCCCAGGCCACGCTGGGCACTGCCAAGGCTCACTGCAGAACCTGTCTCAGGCACTGCATGACCAGGCTCCTGCCCTGGGAAGAGAGCAGTCCTGATACTGCAGCTCAGTGAAACACAGGGAAGTTCAGCTCCAGGTCCACAACTGGGATCTGCCCCTGGATTGCTGAACTAGATCACAGACTAGCAGGTCAGCAACATTTTCCATAAGACCCCAACATCTATTGTGGGGCAGCCAATTCCAATTCCCAGTTTCCTGGGTTCTTGTAAACACCAAAATTCTTTGGAAAAGGGCTGAATTAATTTAGATACACAAATCTTGATATATTTGCCCTCCCCTGTAAAAGGGAGAGGTCCCCAGAAAAAAGGTGACTGTAAACTTTTTCCTATTCCAGCATGGGGCTTTAACACCTCCATGTGTGTAGTCTGTGCCCTGTTTGTCCTGTACCATCTTGGAAGAAAACCCAAAGCACACACACATTGCATTTCTGAACAGTATGTACATTCTGCTGGGGAGGAGGGAATGGGAAGGAAGGCAGGGAAGGGAGCTGCAGGACCTCAGGAAAAGCTGCTTATTTGGCAAGTCAGCTGCTGTTTCACACTCCTCTGTGTGCAGGAGAGTAGATTTGTAATTTCATTAATTACAGTTATTACTGGAGCCATGTCCCCTCCAGTGTAAATACCGTAAATTACCAAACACATGCAGCTGTAATTTCAACACTCTTCTCTGGTGTTAGGATTAGCAGACCTGATCTAGTGGAATATAAGATGTGAGTGAAATATAACAAAAGAGCCTTGCAAGTTGTTTTTGGTCTGAAGGCTGTCATCAATGGGCACGGGTGGGAGGAGAGGGAGCTGTTCACAAGCTTGGGTATCACAGTTCTTAAATAACACAGGAGACTTCTGAGAAAAGATTCAGGATTGTTTTACACAGACCAAGCAAAGAAGGGACGGTGTTTACACACAAGTACACTGAGCAAACACCTGGGGCTGGATTTTGGGTGGATGATATTGCTTTTAATTGTCTTGCTGCTAAGCAGATTACAACCCAATAATGCCATTGAGCAGCCAGCAGTGGGAAAGAAAAGTGGAAAACATTATGCTCCTTGAGTCCTTGGTAGTTCTTCCCAAAGGCTGCTTTTGCTAGCCTTAAACAGGGTTGTTTCTGCATTTTGGACACAGTGTGAAACTGAGAGGGGGAAAAAAAGCTCAATCTTGTGCTTTCAATCTCACAAAGTAATTTCCAGAAATGGGGAGAGAGTGCATTTTAAAGTACTGACAAAATCCATTTGTAGCAGATCCCTAACAATTTTGTAACAGCTGCAGCAAAGTCCCATTGTGCTACAAGCAAATTCAATGACCAAATGCTTATTACACGGCCAGGAGGATCTCTCCCAGCAGAACCAGCCACACACAAATTAGTGCTTGTTGATGTAATCAAGTAATAAAATGCCTAAATCAATACAGATCAGGCATTAGGAGGAAGAGGGACAGAGCTGGTATCAGAAGAGATGCTGCACTGTGGTGAGAGCTCTGGGTAAGCCAGCAAGGTCTGCCCTGCACCCAGCAGTTGTGGAGACAGTGTTTGGGGCTGGAAACCACCCATCCTGGCTGGTGTCATCTTTTGATGTGTCAAGGCAGCTGGCTCTGGGAAAGAGGGAATAGAAATACACAGCAGGACACACAAAAAGGAAAATAAAGGGATTCTGGACTTGTCTCGTGGGTGCTGTATCTGCTCATGGGTAGCAGCACGGGGACCAGGAGGCTTGGTGTGGGGGCTCTGGGTGGAAAGGGGTCCCTTTGGGAGTGCTGACCTCCGGGTGGGAAGGGCAGGGACAGCACACCTGGCTGAAATGAAGAGGGCTGGGTTTTGTTTGACAAGAGCGGGTTAGGCTTTTTGACCAGAGATGCTCTACTTATCCTCACATTTTGGGCTGGGGTACGCACCATGGGAGGTGCAGAGGGCGGCATGAGCGGCGTCTGGGGCAAGCTGGATGGAAAAGGAGTGAATGTGTGCTGGTGGGTGTGTTGGTGCTGATGCGTGTGTTGGTGCTGGTGAAACTCCGCTCTCAGCAGCGGCACCGGGCCAAGTGAGGCAGCGGCCCGGTCCGAACTCTGAACCAAAAACCGGTTGTTCAGCTCTTGCCTGAGCAGTTCGTGATCTAGAGGAGAGAGAGAGAGAAAAAAAAAAGACACAGAGGCCCGTGGGCCTGTGAGTACCACAAAGACGGAGGAGAAAGAGTCAATATTCACCTGGCATTCCCTGTTTCTGCAGGTCATGCTGTGGTGGTTTTCTACGTGAGGACTCATTGGTGGAGGTAAGAGAGATGCCTGTGACAAAGTACCAATCAGAATCCCCGAATGAGGCTGGCAATACATGATTGGTTGGTTGAATGATATCAACAGGCTGGTATCTAAAGACAAGAGAGAACACCATGAGTCATCACAGCAGAAAACATCATCGGGGCTCGCACTCCGCCCGCCCGCCGCCCGCCCGCGCCCCGCCCGGCGCTCCTCCCGGCACCTGCTGCAGCCAGGGGTGTCTGGGGCACACCTCAGAGACCCAGCCTCACCTCTGGGTGACACCTCAGGGGTCCAGGATCACCCCTGGGGCACACCTCAGAGACCCAGCCTCACCTCTGGGTGACACCTCAGGGATCCAGCCTCGCCCCTGGGTCACACCCCAGAGATCCAGGCTCACCTCTGGGTGATACCTCAGGGATCCAGCCTCACCCCTGGGTCACACTTCAGGGATCCAGCCTCGCCCCTGGGTCACACCCCAGAGATCCAGGCTCACCTCTGGGTGATACCTCAGGGATCCAGCCTCACCCCTGGGTCACACCTCAGGGATCCAGCCTCACCTCTGGGGACGCCTCCCAGGCTCCTGGGAGCTGCACCTTCCCGCACCAGCCAGGTGCTGGGGAGAACTCTGGAGGCCAACAGCTCACTTTGTAATGAGCAGTACCGACCTTCGTCCTCTGGGTGTGTGACAGAGGCACACACACACATACACTGAGAATTGATGTGTGTTAAGCTCTGACAATGAGACACTTCACAGGTAAAATTTTGGTAATATCTGCAGTGCAATGAGCTAACCGTGGGTTTGGGTGGCTGGAAAGTGCCTGCTCAGACATCCATCCCCTGTGCCATCCCTCCCTTCTCAGCCCCAGGACATGCATGCAGTGACCAGAAACATCTATCCTATAAATCAAGGCCTTCTTTGCAGAAAGGTTTTTTTTTTTTTGAGATCTTAAATAGGTAGCAGTCCTTTCCTCAATTTGTAACAGGCTGTAATTCTTGTTTTTTTGTTGTTGCCTCCAGGTTTTTCTCCTCTGAGAAAATATAGAGGAGGAATCAGTGAGGAGGGGAAGAAACACTGAAGTGGCTCAAGATCTCATCAAGGTTGCAATGACTGCTGAAACAAAATGTTCCACCATATGACGTGGCCTCTTCTCAGCATCTTCCTCTGGAACAGCAACTTGCATGGAATGTGAATGTTGTTCAGGGCAGGGCAAGACATCAGTGCTTTTGAAATGATGTCACTGAAGACAATAAGGACCAATGTCCACTTCTCCAAAATGTCTGCTGGTATAACAATTAAATCTATCTGTGGCTTTGCTTAAGAACTTCAAACAGGGATTAGCATCCAACATATTATATATTTTTTAAGCGAAGACCAACCTGTGTCCCCAGCTGTGGATGACACACACCCAGTCCTGACTGATCTACTTGCTTCTGAATTTAGGTGAATCCACTTCTTTCACTGTTAACAGCTTCTTTAAACTACAGCTCTGAATATAAAGGGGCAAAGGAACACCTGTACTTTAAAGTTTTATTTCATGTTCTGCAGGGATTTCTTTCACTTTAATTTTTACAGTAACATTGGAAATGTCTAAATCAATCACTTTCTGAAGTGACATGGGGATCTTTAAAAACACGCACTCTGATGGCAACTTCAAGGTCTCTACTACCACTCAGAAGCCTACAATTGAAAGTCACATTTGAGAGCAAATTTTGGGTCCTAAGTCATTTACTTTTCATTAATAAATGTACTGCTAAGAGCAGGTACTGTGTACTGCTACAATCCATATAATAATTAATACAAAAGCAGAAAAAATATATATGTGTATGATACTGAAGCCTAAGGCACTGGAGGAAAGAGTCCATAATAGGTTCTTCTTGGATTGAGCAAATAGGAAAAAAACTACAGGCTGAAAGCACTTAGGTCCAAAACCTAACCTCTTTAGAGAATATGAGCATGATTTCACGTGTGTGTGTGTGTGTGTGTTTACACTTTTCAATCTGGCATGGCTTAAAGAAACTGAATCCTTCTGTTAGCATCAAGATAATCCACTTTTCTGGAGGGAGAGATAAAAGCAAGTTGGCAGTTGTAAGCGCTCTGATATCCAATTTCTTTAAGAGACTGGAAGTCAGACTGATAGATTTGCAGCTGGCTCCAGCCCATAGCCCTCTACCACAGCTTTGGCCTCCGTGAGGAAAAGAAAAGGCCTGGAGATGTTTGGAGAAGCTGAGTGGCACATGGAGGAGTGGCTGCTTCGTAGTAGGGATGGAATTGCAAAGGAATAATACAGTTCTGTGAGGGGCTCTGAGCAATGTCTGGATCAGAACTCAGTTCTTGCACCTGCCAGTGATGTCAGGTCCAGTCACAGAGTAACACAAGCAGGAGCAGGGTGCTGAGCAGCCCTGGGGACCTGCCACCACTGTCCTGTGTGCACACACGAGCTGGGCAAGGCACAAAAAGGTCACTCCTGCTCACAGTGCCCTCACATTCAGGAGCTGAGAGACACAGACCCCTATTTCCTCTGGGTATCCCACATCAGGGCAGCCCTTGAGCAGACAGCAGAAGCCCAGCAAGGGTTGCTGCTAAGTTACTTCTGTTAGCTTTAGGTTTCAAAAGGGAGAAATGCCACCAGAAGCGCATTCTTGTCTCGCTCTTCAGGGCTGCTCAGCAATATTGTTTGCTTTTAAGGAAGTTTTATGTGAATGACAACAGAAGCTCCTGGCTCTGCAGCACTCTGTATTGATTTTATGATGTGCCATTTTGCAGGCATTTCATATAGTGCAGACAAGAGGCATTTCACTGTCTGCAGGGTTAGACACCCAGACCTTTCCCTCCACTAACTTCGGCTTCTCCTACTTAAATTGCAGGAGAAATCCTTTTAGTAGGAGCAAGACTGTTACTGTTTCCTGGCAAGCTGCTGAATGTGAATAGGTCACTTGATCTTGCATCTCCTGAAGTTAATGGTGAAAACATACTTGCTTTCAGTGACTGCAATATCATGCTTTTAGTGAGAGCTCTGCTATTTCCTTTTGCTATGCTTTCAAAGTCTCCATCACAGTAGTCCTTCGCCTTAAACAGGGGAAGCAATGAATAGGTCTCCCACAGTGCTGCCAACATCTTCCCAGCCATGTGGTTGAAATTCTAGATGGTGCCAGGGCTCGTGACAGCTGCCAGCTTTGGCTATGTGGTCTTGTCTCTGGCAGGGAACCCACAGCACTACCATCGTTCTCAGAGCTCACTTTGGATCCATTTGTACTTTTATTTTTTTCACTTAGAGAAGCAGTAATAAATAATGAGACATTATTTAGCTCCTGGAAGCAAAAAAGGGGGATGGAAGACCATCAGATTTTTCCACAGCAAATCTGTCATTTCCTTATTCCTTTAACTGACTTCATAGGAAGCAGAGAGTGTGTTTTTTGCAAAATGCTTGTCCTGTTTAATCCCTGCTGAGTTAGTTGTGGATTCAAATGCCGGATCAAAAGGAGGCCCCAGCAAGTGAAAGTTGCTGGGAAGTCTCCAGCTGCCAGGGTCTCTTCCAGGGACAGCTGTAGGCTAATGGATAAGCTATAAACAGGGCATTTAGGGCAGAAGTGACAATAGAATGGGGGCCAGGGTGAACAAAGGAAACTTTTTAAAAGGATGCAAAGACAGTGAGAGTAGAACAGCAGAGCTTGTCAGCTGAGCTGTCTCTGACTCAGACTGAAAGGCCACGGGGCCATGGGCACAGAGCAGTTGTGCTGCTGCAGGCAGAGGATCCTGCTCTGCCAGCAGGATGTGCTGCTGGTCGAAGGACCAGGCAGGGGATTCAGCGATGATCAAGTGCTTGGTTAGAACAGTTGCAGAAACAGTATTTTCTCACCAGTTCTAACATCAGCAGCTTTCTTTGGAGAGGGGAGGGAGAAGGGGAGAATGGCAAACTGTGCATCACTTCTCTGTTAATCTAAAAAATGTCTGATGACTGTGGAATGCCACACTGGACAACTCATGCCCTGAACAGGACTTTTTTTTTTTCTTTTTTGAAGCATTTGTTTTGAAGACTTCCTATAGGAAGTGATGTGTCTACAATATCTCATCTGGTAAAGCACGTCAAGGTCCCCCACCTGTTTCATGAGCACTGCCACAGCTCCAGCACACACTGAGGGGTCTGTGTCAAGGGATTTCACCTGCCCACCAGCCAGCCCATCCATCTCTCAACACCCTCCAGTGCATGCATGGCCAGTTAGCCCTGGAGAAGAAGGGACCTACCCGCAGGGTGCCCTGGTATCACGAGGCTGTTGGTGGGTAACGCTGGTGGAGGTGGCAGCGTGGGTGGGGTGGCAAACATGGCCGGATGGTGCTGGTGCTGGGTCTGCGATCTGAGAGAGAAGTGCGAGGTAGCAAGATTAGAGATGGAGAGGGGCAGAGCTGGGCCGGAGGAATGGTGTGGTGGAATCTGGGGAGACAGGGGCAGGTGCTTCGGGAGGCTGATGCTCGTTGCACTGCTAGCACTGCTGCTCCGGCTGCAGGGAGAGAGATGGGAGGGAGGGGAGAGAGACAGACAAAGAGTGTGTTACAATACACGACTGAAACGGTGCAAGAAATACACTACCAGAGACAACACAACTATGGAACACTGATCTCCCCAGGCTCATGCTTTTGCTGGTCTTAATGGCAGTGGAGATAGTTAACGAATCTTAATGAACGTCTCCAACAGGGCAGAACGGGCTTGGGCTCTCTGGAGGGACATCTCCTCCTGTGCTGCAATCCTCAGAGCTATCTGTAAGTACTGATGAGGGCCACAGAGGCAGCTGGATTTTGCACCTTTATGGAGCCTCTGATGACCTTGCAGTGTCCATGTGGATCCTTGTGACCAGAGGACACAGTGACACCAATTCCTTTTTCTGCTGCTCTGGGAGTGCAGAGCTGCACAGCACGAGTGACTGGGACCCTGCTGGATCTGCTGCACATGTGCTGTGCAGCTGTAGTCACACAAGCATGCAAATGCACACCATGTTAATAATGTTTCTCATAGTAATTTGTATTTTACATCTTCTTCTATTATTATTATTACTCCATTGCAAGTGATCTAAGTTTCGTGGGCTGAAACACACTATCACTGCAGTTATTAGTTGTGTAATTCCCACAATACTGAATATCTGTTGCAAGTTAAACCTCAGAGAGATCTTGAATAGCTTGAAATATTATTCACCGTTTATTCTATGGTGGCATTTACAAGATAAAACCACAACAGAGCTTAAGTATGCAGGATACTGTGAAATACACATTAATGGCAGCTCTCTGTATTCATATGCTGACCTTTGTGCAGTCAAATATTATGCTTTAAATCAGTTTTCTCATCTTGTTTAAACTAGTCTAGCTCTTGCTCAGGAGGCAAGTCATGTTTTCTGTACCAGCAAAAGGACTATACAGGTTCCAGTTGACTGACTAAACTCTTTTCTCTAGAAACATTTTATCCATTTACCATTTTCACCCACCCTCCTGACTGGATGGAGGCAATTTAAACAGCAGAGCTAAACCTCCTGCAAGATCTGAACATGTCAGATTGAAGCAGATTTTTCAGCCCACACGGGAGCCCTGGTCTCCAGGGACACAGCATTTTCCAGTACAGATCACAGGATATTCTGAGCTGGAAGGGACCCACAAGGATAAGAGTCCAAGACAGATATCCCTCTTTTGATGCTGGTGAGCCAAAAAACCTGAGAACCATGAACAATGGAAGCATTTCTAAATACGGAACAAAGGTGTTGCTCAAACTCAAACCATCTTAAATTTCTAAGTCAAGAACTAGCCAGCTCAGACAAGACCATGCAAAATTTTCCTTGAAACTGGACTGAAAGGAACACGTGCCTTTCTGCAGAAGGTGTGCATTTATCCCCTCATTTATCACGTGGATTTATGCACTGATCCACCACAGCTGGAAAAACCAGCCTGGAGTCAGCCCGTGAAGTCCAACACCCAAAGCTCGGACCATCTCACCCCAGGTGAGCGCTCCCCTTGCCTCCCAGCAATTTCTACCTACTGGGAACAAGCCTTAGCCCCGCAGCAGCCTGAAGATGACGTGAGCATCCCTTCCCCCTACCTGATGTTATTGAGTCCGTTGTGGGCCACCTGGTGATGCACTTGGTAGTTGAGAGGCGGAGGGATGTGGCTGGGAGGCTGGCTCCGAAGGTCGGGGATCAGCTGAGGCTGCGACTGCGGCCGGGGCTGCGGCTGGGACTGCGGCCGGGGCTGCGGCTGAGGCGTGAGCCTGGGTGGTGCTGGTGCTGAAATCACTGGCTCCTTCTTCAGCAGGGGGCTTGCTCTGGCACTTGACGTGGGCGCTGAGGAAGTGGAAGTCACGACGGCAGCGACGGGCTGGGGGCTGGGGATGGGCAGGGCGAAGGGCACGTCGGTGCTCAGCTCCCGGCTCCGCTCTAGCCCAGACACCTTTGGGACATTGGCTGCTTTCGCTTCTGGCTTGTCATTCAAGGTGGGACCTTATGGAGAGACAAGAGAAAGAACAAAGCGCGTGCTGAAAGGTTTGTGTTTCTCTCTCTGCTTGGTGGAGCATATGCCTGGGAAAAAACAAGTCATGTTTCAGCTCGTGGGAGCGCCGTGGGAGCGCTGCTGCTACAAGATGGATGTGTGTTTGAGTCTGTCCTTCCGCTGTCCTTGACTGGCCGGTCCACAGTACTTTCAGCATGTGTGCAAGAGACTTAGCTGTCATTAAATGAATGCATACTGCAGAGAACACACAGCTTTGTGACTTCTTCAGGGGCCCGAGGTTATGTACAATAGGAGCGTGAACACGTCTCAAGTTACTGCTACAGTATTTCCTGCTCAATGCAAGTTTTATGTTCATGAGACACAGGCCTCATCACTAAGACATTTCATTTTCTCAATGCCCTTTCAAGGTAACCCACATTGGATTTAGGTTCAACTCCAGCTCCAACACACCAGGAGCCAAGCATCAATCCTTAATCATAACCCTATCTGTCTTCTAGGATGGAGACTACCTGGGATCTCTGTAGCAAAGGAGGGGACAGCTCTGCAGAGAAGCTGTGAAGCTGCTGTCCCCTGGCCACACACTTGTGTTTAAGAACAGAACGGGGAACAGTGGAAAAATCCAGTCAGAAGTTCAGTGGGCACCCAAATCTAGTCCTGCTCAATCCTGCTCACCCTAAACAGTAAATATCTGTATACTCAGCATGCTGAAACTATCAGGAAGGCTGCAACCTTGCAAAATGCACCTACAGAGAGAATTCCATATGGAATTACTCCTTCTGTCGTGCCAAACCCTGACATTTTTCATAATTAAGCTAAACAAAGCATCCCAAAGAGTTAAAAGGCTGCAAAGGAAAAAGGGAGGAAAGAAGAGATATTTCAGATCAAGCAGTATCCAAAAGGTTGTAGACAACTGAAAAGACCAACATGAAAGCAATTCAACTCCCACTGTAACTCCCTTTTCACCCTAATCTGTGGATCCTGAAGTGCACACATACCCACAATTACAAGAAAAGCTCTTCATGGGCTACAGGGTTGGTGGTGTGTTTCACACACATCCCACTGTGCACACACAGCACCTCTGACTTTTAGGAGACACTTTTGTTACCCACCAAAACGTGCCGGGGGCTGCTGGCATTTGGCTGCCTTGCAGACACGCAGGAGATGCTACCTACACTCATTAACATGCTCCCAACACCCTCACAAACTAATTCCACCTTTGAAATTCTCCCGTCTCATCAAAGGACCGAGCCAGTTCCTGATGTAGGAGGGTGTGGAAATAACACACAGCACACCCTGTGAGCTAATTCTGGCCGTGCAGAAGCTCTGGCCAGTGTTTGTGAACCAGCCCATGCGAGGACAGAGTCCCCAGTGCCACTTCCACAGCCTGAGAGCTGGCATCAGATGGCAGGAGGACAGCAGTGAATCAGAGCCTGCAGCACACCAGCTCATGTTCTGTACCCAAGAATGCCCACGTGGTGATGGCATCCCCTCCCTTGAGATAAAAGGCAGCTTCCCACACTGCTTCTGGCTCTGCCTGCACTCTCACCAATGCACCATTTCCCTCAGCCATCAATCAGTCAGCTCATCACTGTATGAATTCAGAATGCAAGAAGAGGACGAATGGAAACATATGAACTATATTTATCAGCTGAAAATGTCTTGAGGTCTTGGGGCCTCAAACCCACAAGTAACAGGAACAGAAGCCTTTCCAAGCACCAGTGTTTTGGCTGGCAGCAAGTACTATCAACACTGTACTTTCCAGCACCTTATATATCTTTACAGGTTTGACACAATGTCTGGAGATCCTAAATTAATCTCTACAACAAAAACAAGCCTCTTATTTCAGTGAATTTCTTTATCAAATATGAATTCATGCACCACAGGTAACCTGGTTGTGTGCTGTAGCTAGACTTGGTTCCAATGCTATTCAGAATTTATTTTTGAAGTAAAATTCTCAATGCTTTTGCGCATCGTTATTTTTTATAATATGTTTGTAAATTTCCCTCAGTTTTTACTGCTAACAGCTGAAAAATTCTCATTGCCTAGTCAAGCCAGGGCTCCCCACACTGCATTTTGGAGCAAGTGTGTTCACAGCTGCAGATTCCACTATTTTTCAGGAGCTACCCATTAAAAGCAATTGGGTTTCATTCCTGAGCATAGGTTTCCTCAGAGCCCATTAGCTCTTTGCATCCAACAGGCCTCCTCCTACAGAGTTAAACTTCATATTGTGTAATTATAGGCAATGCAGACTAATGGTGTATATTCAAAACACACTGGCACCACAAAAGTTAGTTGAGTAAAAAGTCAATTAGATCCAAAACAAATCAATAAAGTCCCACATTAAAAGCAGCTGTTTGACCAGTTTTATGTGCAACTATTGATTCCCTGTGGTTTCAGCACTAGTTCTCATTTGCAATTTTCTCAAAGCAAAAGCTCAGTCTCCCTTGCTGACTGAATTGACCAGCCAAGCCTGGTTGTGCTAGCTAGTGCTAGGGGTACATGACTAATTCCTGCTGCCAACTTCCATCTCTCAGGATGCAGTACCACAATGTTTTTGCCTTTTGTTCTCAACAGCAATGAAAATATCCACATGCCAGTTTCCCCCTCGCCAGAAAAGCTACAGGCACGAGTGGGAGTATCTTCTCTCCTTCTGCAGCCATGTTGCACAAAAGCAGAAGCACTGAGAAGGGAAAGACATGATGTGGATTCATGGGCAAGAGGGGAAAAACATCAGAGGGAGCAGCCCCCAAGCCTTCTCAGACACCACACAGGAAGGGGAGAATCCTGCTGTTTGGTGACTTTGTCATTCTTCCTCCTGATGGCTGCAATGCACACATGGAAGTCTCTCAGCTGTCTTTCCTGAAATATCTCAGAAAGTTAATCTTAATGACTTTAATGAGGGATGTTGCCCGTTCTGATCAGGATCTCAAACTCTGTAGTTTCTCTGCAGGATACTTGAATATCCCTCCTAAGAGAACTACACTCCTGCATGCCCAAGCTCTGACCAGGCTGACTGCTGCTCACATATGGAAATATCCCAAGGAAAGCAACCAAATACTCCCTTTTGAGCAAGCTGGATCAGGTTGCATTGAGATCCTTTCAGAAATTTCTGTTCTTGGGCTGCTAATCCAGCCCTCCTGAGCAGATGGACCCAGGGAGCTGAGCACAACTGCCCCAACAAAAACACAGACCCACCCGACCACACCACAATGTTCTAGAGGCAAAAATGTGTTTATTTTTACCAAGTCCTAGAGTAATTTTCATGCTTAATGATAACAGGCTGAGCCAATTTGCCTAAGACTTGACAGTCAGCTCCAATAATTCAACCTTAATTAAACCTGAACGCATGTCAGTTCAGCTTGTCCCTTCACAGGAAATCTGACATTTGTAATGATTCATGTTCCAGCCATGCTACGGGAAGGCTGGATCACATCTGCCACTCTCCACCGTGCACAGCGCTACCCCTTTTGAGCATGCCAACTTTTGTTTATTTTCTAACCAAACACCTTGGACTTCTTCCATTGAGAGGTTTTCTTAAATGAACAGACAGTGAAACATGTCTTGATCTCACAGGGATGAATGATGACTGAGTGTGAGAGACAGGGAAGAAAAGGCTGAAACTGCTCTAACAAGGAAAAAACCTCAACAACCTGGGATTAGTAATTCTTGCCTCCCTGATCGACTAATTTGTTCATTTGGAGTGTTGCAAAAGGTTAACCTCCCTACGTCTTGGGCTGCATCCAATTCCAACTTCAACCGGTAAAGAAGAAAACGTAACAATTTTTAAAAGCCCAGAGAGCTTTAGCTCCTGCTCTGTAAATCTGTAGGAACCGGAGGTGAAGTTTAAGGGAAACCCCGAAGTCAACAACAGCTTAAATTACTGTATAAAGCTTGCTTCAGGAGGAATTACCTGAAGCTGAGAGACCATCAGCCAAGACCCCATCTGAGAGATCCCTGAATTCTGGATCTGAGGCTGCAATAAGTGAACACTGCCCATCCCCAAGGCTGCAGAGGGTGACATGCCTGCCAGTGTGTAACTACACAGCATTGCAGGCTAAGCACAATACAGAAAGTCCCAGACACAAATTAAACCTTTCTGTTACAGGAATTTGCTTTCAAGCTGATTAAGAGTAGCTCAAGTGCAAGGGATTAAACATGTAAAGGCTGCTTTGAGAACTCCAATAAGCAGTTACTGTGTTATACAAACAGTACTTAGGGCAACAGCAGTTCCAGCCCTGCCTCTTGCTCTTTGCAAGCTGCTGGTTGCTGCTGAAAGGGGACTGTCAACACACGTACAATGTGATTGGAAATAATCTAATCTTGCTTGCACGCCTTTCCTTTGTCTCTTGAAAAAAAGAGAAGTGGAGTCATTCAGACGTCTTTCTGCAGCCTCCCTCTGCAGTCTCCCTTGCTGCATTCAAACAGCAAGGGTGATGGGGTGATGTGAGAAAGAAATGCCTCTCCTACATCCATCAATGACATCTTTACCAATGGCAATTTCCCAAGAAACACAACAACCACCATCTGTAGCCCATCTATCCGCCCTGCACATATCCTTGAAAACAGACACAGGCCAGACTGGCTATGGTGAACCCTGCTCCATATTCCAGCAAGAAACACTGGAAAAGCAGCACCGCAGGAATTACACATGGCAAGAAGCTGAGAATTGCAGAGCGAGTTGATGAGTCCCAGAGAAGAGTTTTGAAACATCAGCAAGGGGAAAGAGTAAAGAAGGGCAGGACTTTCAGCAGGAGGTCAAAACAAAGAAATAACTAAATAAACATCAGTAAACATTTTGTGGGTTTTTAGAAAAAAAAAAATTAAATTGAACTTTTAGGCTGCTCCATAATGTATTGTGGATATGGAACATATAATAAGCAGAAGAGAGAATAAAGCATTTTGCTTTGACAACGATAACACTGATGCTGGTAGAGTGCTTACAAGTGAAAATCAATATTTAAGTGCTAATTCTTTATCCCTAGATGGCTTT